TTATTTGGACGATGATGAAGAATAAGGAATAATGAAGAGCATGGTGTATCAAATATTGGTGGAGTTTGATTATGGTAGGGCTAATCCTGAGTGTCACAACATGATTATGATTGCATTGCAAACCAAAAGTAGACAGAGTGGGACCGTCAGGATTTGTGCACAACAGCTCATACTCGAGAGATACCCTGTTGGTCTTGGACCTGCGCGTCACATGCGGATCAAGTTTTTTTTTTATTTATTTTTTTTTACTGATCAAGTCTAAATTTAAATACATTAAACTTTTTATTTTTTATTTAATTATAAGTGACATATTTTTATAATATCATGTTATATAATTAAGTATCATAACAACTGAATTTTACTTTTTATGTTTCAAGTTTAAAAAAAAATGATCAAATTAATTTTTGAAATTGTATACTATTTTCAATTTAGTTTTTAATTATAGTGAAATTAAAAAAAAATCTTCGAAAATGTAATTCGTCGTTCATTTGAGTCACTCTGTTAATTAAGCTTTGTTTTCTTAAATGGAAATGTCTATATGACATTGTCATGTCATGTGACATATGTGGAGTGATACGTGTTATGTGGTTGTATCACATGACAGATATGTATCATGTAACATAATTATAATATAATATCATTTTAATCCTTGAAAGTGTAACACAATGCCACTTTAGTTCTTGAAACTATAACTTAATCCCTAAAAGTGTAACACAATGTTACTTTAGTCCCTAAAATTGTAATTTAATGTCACTTTAGTTCTAGAATTTTAACTTGACGTCACTTTAGTCTCTAAATGTGATCATAATTTTATCTTGATAAGATAATTATGATTTGAATATTTAATATTTACACAACAAAATATATAATTAAGTTAATATTGTAAATGCAGTGATAAATATATTTAAATAAATCCCACACCTTGTCCTAAAGGGTTTCCATTTGATTCAAGTCCAACATCACTCCATTTTCGTCCGACATCAATTTAGATAGAGATGATTCTCTTTCCTTACACTCGACACCATTCAAACTTACGTTCGACGTGATCAAGTCAAAAATGATTCTCTCTCTTCACGTTGACGTTACTAATCATGTGGCATTAAGAGAATATAAATCCTTGACTTCAAACCATGTGCAATGTCATGAAGGCGTACCTAATGCAACATCAAATAAATTTTGCACTTATGTAGAAATTAGATTGGCCAATCTACCCAAAATCTAGCCAAGAATCCAACATGCAACAAGATATACAACATATTTTCAATTTGTATGACTCAAAAGCAACTCCAAAATCAACATGCAACCAAGATTCACAAAGATCATCAACTACCCTTCACAACCAACATTTCAAGACACTCCAACTCTATCAATTCTCATTTCATAAATTCAATCAATTAACAACTGTATATCAATGATTATAAGCAACAACAAATCACCATTCATAAATATTGATTCGAAAACAAGTTTCCTTTACCCCTTGTTGATCTAAACTAAGAAGAGAAGAAAAGAAAGAAGAATTTCATACGATTTCTTTAACTTGAGATTCTTGGCTCAATACGCTTTGAATCTCCAACTTAGCCAAGTGATTTAACCATAAGGAAGGAAGAATAAAGGGATTTTAGTATAGAAAAAGGATTAAAAAAAAACTTGAATTTCAAAGAGCTCCTCACTAATTCCTCTTTAAAAAAATTTAAAATATAAATTTATGAAATTCACATTTTAAAAAAAATTAATATATTCTTTATAGGATGATCGAATTTAACTATATTTAAAATTATCTTAAAAACAACCTAACTCTTAAAATTCCTTAGCTACTAGAATTTTCAAACAACAACACTATCAATAACTCAATTAATCATTCAATTAAAGTAAAACACTCAAAACAATGTTACAC